GTGTGTGTGTGTGCGCACACGCATTTGCTCTATCCACTACTGTGATGGATCAAATGAAATGATCGGATTTCGTGCACATTACCAATAAAGATGACTATTACAGTACTATCAAGTGTCGTAAAGTGCAGTACAAAATTTGAAACAGACCAAAATTTGGATGCATATTCTTTAAAAATTGCACTAAAAGTAGTAGAGGTCAACCCACCATCATAAATGACATCCCACAAGACTTCAGATCAAAGAGCATCTGACGGAATTATTCCACAAGTTATCATTTGCTTTTTTTGTCTTGTTTATAGGAGTCCCAGTGACGGAGAAGAGGAGAAATATGATGAAGCCCATAGAACTGGCCCTTAAACTAACGGGGAATATAAAAAGTCTACACTCCATTGTTCGAATGCCTCCACTTACACTTAGGCCCGAGTTCAAGCTTGTTGGGTTCTGAACTGAATATTGCTTTGGATTCCAGAAATGCAGGCTGAGATAAAGTGCGAAAACAAAAATATTACAGAAAAAGCGCAGCGACAAAGTACAAATTGAAATCACAAGGACCAAAAAAAAAAAAAAAAAACAACGCATAAAACAAAACGCGCTTGCAAAGGCAAGGTACAAAGAGAACACCGAGAAGACACAAACAAACTATCAAAACGCCAATAACGCTAAAAACCAAAGATTAATAAAAAGAATAACGAAATTACAAAGTTCCACGACAAAATAAGAGTGACTGATATCGAGAGGTCGTGAATACAACATTTGAAGCCCAACAGCAACAAGGTCAATAATCCAACACTGACTAGCCAGGCAGCCCTTAAATACACGGCAGGCTTGATTGGTAAACGCGGAACAGGTGCGCCGCTGAAGAGGCACACCCACCGCACCAGCTGGGGCTGAAAACAAAAAGACAGACACAGCAAAACCATGACAAGGCTAAAGAAAAACAGCCCAAAGTATTAAAAAACAGCCTTCACCATGATATTTTAATTAAAAGATAAAAAAGTTCACAAAAACACACTTGATGTAGGAAAAGGTGTTATAAGATAAGATAAGATAAGAAAACCTTTATTAGTCTCGCAATGGAGAAATTCCCAATTCACAGCAGCATCATGACTAAAGTGATTTGATTGAAATAACATGTATTCAATTCTGTACACCGCTTATCCTGTTGAGGGTCATGGGGTGTCTAGCCTAACTAAACTTACTTTGGGTAAAAAGCGGACTATTGTACACCCGGAACAGGTCACCAGTCAGTCGCAGGGCACATACAGAGGCAGAAAAAACATTCAAATGCACTCAGGGTAGACGAATGTACCAATACATTATTGGACTCAAATTTTCAGTCATAATGGGCTTTTTGCACAAAATGTCTGGGATACAACGGCTTACCCTCTTACGTAGAGGTCGGCATTTTACGAAATTTTGCCTGTCTGTCATTAATCGTCTGTCAGTGGTCTGGGTACCATTATCCGTCATTTTTTTCAAGCCAAACAAAGCTGTAATCGTCAGTCCATCATGTTAAATTAACCGCGCCTCCGTCATTGCTATCAGCTGTAAATTTCACCGGTCCTTAAGTCCGTCAGTTGGTACCCATCTAGTTAGTCCGGGGGTCGACAACACGCGGCTCTCGAGCCGCATGCGGCTCTTTAGCGCCCCTCAGTGGCTCCCTAGAGCTTTTTCAGAAATTTTTGAAAATGGAAAAAGATGGGACACAAACATTATTAACGTTTTCCGATGCTCTAAAAATGTGTCGAATAAATATTAAATGTCAACATTTCGTCAACGAATATTTGCGTCAAAGCCTGCGACACACGTTTCTATTAGCAAGGCGGGATGTCAGTCAGGGGGCTGTTGTAAAAAAACAAAAACAACCCCCCCCCCTAAAAAAAAACAGCTGCCTTTCATGTACAATTCACCAAGGGTACTTGCTAAGAATGGGAATCTGGATGGCCAAGAGAAGCATTTTTAAACGGTACACGTGAGATACGACAGTCAGCACGCTGCGAAAGTGCATCCCATGCTTTGTTCATCTTGCCTCGCATCTCTGATGCTGTAAAAATGTGTCGAATAAATATTAAATATCAACAATTCGTCAACGGATATGTGCGTCACAGCCTGCAACACACGTTTCTATTAGCAGGGCGAGATGTCAGTCAGGGGGCTGTGCTAAAAAAAAAAAAAAAACGATTGCATTAAGATTGCATGACTGTCCATGTTTTGTGTTGTGTTATATTATGTTAACTGTTATGTAAAGCGCTTTGTTACAGCTGCAGCTGTTGTGAAAGCGCTATATAAATAAAGATGTATTGTATTGTATCTGGTAGTCTTAACAGCGCGAATGTCATGTACTTTGACGAGTTCAATAAATGATACAAGGGAGGAAAAAACTGACAAACGTGAGTCCTCTCCTCAACCATTTTGATCGCAACACAAAAGGCATTTTAGGATATTTTCCCAGCCAAGTCGTCACAGGTCACCAACCGATGGATTCCTTGGTTAAAGATAGCAGACAAGAACAACATCTGAGTATGAAATGCAGTCTTGATTTATTCGTAGTTTCAGTTAGATCAGTGCTTAGGTCATGCCTGATGATATTTCCCAAGATCAGAAGGACATAAGAATGGACAAGAATGCCAATTGAGAAACAGTGAGTGTAAGGAGCGAGATTCTGTCCACCGTGACAGCGTGTTCAAGTAAGACTGAGCCTCACTGAGAATTATGATTTGAGCTTCAAACAACATAAGACAGAAGTTGTGTGCTTGTGCGCTCCCCAGCCTTACAAATGTACAACAAAAGACATTTAAAAAATGTTCACGTGTCAGATAGCATGATATCTTTGTTGGACTTGTGAGAATCTTCCGCATTGCCGAGTTGGTGATCCGGTGATTAAAATCCTGACGCGGTGGTGGAAATTCTGCATTTTCATCCATCATGCATCCAACGACGCATCATTAGTCGTAGCCCAACATTTGCCTTGTAGGCTCAATGACCGCAATGTACAGGGAAAAATGGGGGGGGGGGGGTGTCCCACTGTCCCTGGTACAATCTGTGCTCAAAAATGCATCCATCATCTATATACTATACCACTAATCCTGTTAAGGGTTGTGGTGAGGTTAAGCCTATTCCAGCTGACTTCACGCAAAAGGCAGACTCCATGCTGGACTGTTCGCCAGAAAATTACGGGGCACTTTTAGAGACAGACAACCATTCACACGGTCACTGAGTGGAAGCGGAATCCCACTGCCTGTAAGAAAGTCAGGTGAGTGTGTCACACAATGTGTGGCATCATTGTAAGTTTCAAAAGGATCCATTTTGTGTCCTACTGATGACGTTTTTGAAATAAAAAATGCAGACTACGGTCCAGTATAATTGTCCTGATGATGCAGAAACTTGAAAGCTGGGGGCATACACACATTGATTTCAAGGGCATATGTTGGTCCTTTATGTCGACTTCAAATAGTCCCCCCAGGAATACGCGATTCCGCAAAGGTGGAATTTACCGGGACTTCAAAGCTGAATATTGCATTTACATGTTAATTTTAATCCCAGCAGCTAGATCTAAAGCTACATTCACACTGCCTCCCAATTCACTTTTTTTCCCTTAAATGCGACCTTTTTTGTACTCGTTCACACTGTAAAGACAAATGTGAAGGGAACGCATCCGTGATGTGACACGCATATACACAAAGCACGTCAAGTGACACGCGCAAAACATGACGTCACGCGGCAGTGTTTAAGGAAGTAAAAATGGTTCAGCGTGTCCAGGCTCATCTTTTTATAATCTCATATCTACAGATGAGCGACGTGGGAACAGGTAGACATATTTTGGGGTAATGAGACGAAGCTTTTTCAATCTCATTTCATGAAGACGGCTCGTAAAGATGACGTCACACCTTTGCGCACAATAAATGAACCGTCTGCGTGGCTGAATTACTATTTCCTTTCAGTGTGTTCCCGATATCCAGGTCAAGTGGACAGTTTACACTTTGTTTAAATCTTTGCACAAATATCACTTTTTCCGCCTCAAACCCATAATTTGGAAAAATGTCTTGATTAGTAGTATTGTTATTATTATTAAATAAATATGCCCAAAAGGGACAAAGACAATCCTGATGTCTGTTCATGATTGTTTCATAAACCACAATGTTTCACGGTATTGGTTTTGCAAATACCCCCCTCCCCCACACACACAAAAAAAATCTTATTCCATTATTAAATCAATTTGCTTTGCATTGTTTTTTTTTAATGCTCGCGGAAAAGCAACTTTCTAGAGGCGGAATCAAGAACTGCTCTCCGCAGAATCAGAATTGTTCTCCGCGAAACACTTTTTCTCTGCAGATTCCAGGGGGGACTATTCAAATCGGCTGTGCGGGTACAGGAGTTATGGCGAATTGTCAAATGCGCCGATGTCTGCGATGATTAGTGACAGACCGTCATTCAGTCAATAAAGTAGTAGAAATCAAAATCAGGAAAGCACACTCGAGTGTTGTGTTATACAGTCCAACACAACACTCAGACCCACAGTCACTGACTGGACCTAAATTGGAGATTCATTAATCATAACTGTATCCTGGGCAACATACTTCCCACATAAGAGCCATTGAGGGATTTTGCGGGAATCATGAACATGATCACCATGACGCTTAACATTATATCCCTAATTTGTTTATTTTACAATGAAGAGTGATTCTAAATGAATTTTTTTTGCAAAAATGCCACATTATAGCGACGGGCTATCCATCTCTAGCACATAGCATCGAGTATAATGTACATTTCTCTTGTATGTTTTGATAGCGCGACCTTGCTGTTCAACTTTTGTTGCGTCAACTTTTTTTCCAAGTGCAAATCTTTGTGCATGCTGAACCTGCCATCATTTTTCTTGTCAATGCAGGCTTGAGGAAACTCGTCCCGCAGCAATGCGCAATGTCAATACTGGAGTGACCAATGCAGAGAAACGTGCGTGTAAAGAGAATCCGAGAATAGCACGAGCCCGCTCGACCACTCACCCGGGCGTATTTAGATGAGTACGGGTCCTCAAAGAGCGCCCACATCTTGGGCTGCCACACCTCCCACCACGTCGCCCTGCGACCGTCTTCCTGCATGCACAGCCGCTTCAGGTCACCGTCCGCTCCACCGGTAAGAGCCGGATCTTCCTCGGGCGCGTCTGGCTCCGGGGTCTCGAAGCTATCCAGAGCTTCCTCTGCGTCGCGGTGCTGCCGATAATTCATCCAGCAGCATGCCTCCACGTCCGTCTCATCGATGCCCCAGAAGGCGAGTTCTTCCTCGAAGAGCGGCCCGCAAACATCGTTTGGACAATGAAGTTTCCCGGTGCGGTAATAGTTGAGGATGAAGGCAAAAGTGGCGGGGTGGCGGTCAAAGAAGAACTCGTCCGACTTGGGATCGTAGTCGAAGTTGCTGTAGGCGTCGGGCTCCGTCAACCAGGACAAACGCGTGCCCGGCAGCGTCTTCAGGGTGCTCCGGTAGGTCTCGTGTCGGATCCCGCCGCAGTTGATCACGATCTTCTCGCTATCTGACGCCGAGCAAGTCATGGCTGCGATCGGGCATGCTTCGGTCGGTGCGCCCGAGTGGTGGTGGTGGTGGTGGGGTGCTGATTCTGCTAATAGCCTGTCCCATTCACTGCCGATTCCCGCTGTGCGTTTAGTCTCCGCAAAGGCATCCTTGCAAGGTGTCACGGAGACGAAGAGGAGAGAGAGGTAGTGAAGGAGGAGTCTGCGCTGGCGCCTGTGTGCTGTGCCGTGTTGGTGTGAGAGAGATGAGGTCGAAATATAGGCTGTATATGAGAAGCTGGGTTTATGAATCAATTACATTGCCACTGCGCAAGGTTATTGGCTCACGGACTGTTGGAATTCAGATTATTGGATCAAATGAGTTCAAGTCAAATTGCCGACTAAGATCATGATTATACCCGTTGTAGATTCTTTTCCCCCTGTGTCTGAATCGCCTTCGGAGAGATGAAATATGAATTGAAGTGGGATTCGGCAATGTAATACTCTGCTGTTTTGTGCAAAAACGAAACAAAATTACAAAACTGAAGAGAGAGAGAAAAAGAGAGAACAGTGACGTGCATGACTCGTGAATCACGATACTTCTTTGGAGTTGGTCAGAAATAAAAATATACATCCAAAATGGTCATTTTTTTGTGTGTAGAAGACCCAAAAAGCAGGGAGGCAGGAGGAGCAGGTTGGACTGAACAAAATAAATTGACAAAAAATACTTGCAGGAGTACACTGGAAAAACTAACCCAAATACACGAGAAAAGTACTGAAAACCACATTAAGCCAAAGTAACAAACAAAAAAATAACCCTATGACAGGAACATATAGTGATTGGGCAAAGACTGACAGAATCCAAAAAAACAAAATCCAACAGAGTGACGAGACAACAAAAAACGCCTGGAAAAGAAATAAAGGGTCGCAGGAGCTGATTGGTTCACACAAGGGATCCGGATGACAAGAACAGGTGGAGACCAAAAAAAAGGTACACGAGGGAACAAAACCAAATGTCATCTACACAAAAAACAAAGTCATAACAAAAATCTAAGAATAGCCCAAATTTAATTTGTGACCTTTACGGAAATATGTGTTTCAAATGAGGTCAAATTGAATTTACTTTTTCAAGTTTGTTATTATGCTTCAATTAATTCCACACTGTTCAACAATGTGAAAAACAAAATAGAATTTAATATAAAGGTCAAGTGATGAAGTTAATTGTTGGTGAATTTGGATAACGATTTTTAGTTATAGAAAAAAAGCCCTCGGTCTTCCCTTTATATTTAGTGTTATTAATGTTATGAGGTTCTGCCTTAATTATAAAATTACCTGTGCACTGTAAAACTGGATAAGTAGACTCTACTTCAGGGGTGCCCATCGCATCATTTGCGATTGACCGGTAACTCACAGAGGGCCAGCCCTGCCACTTTTATGCTATAGATATACTGTAGCTGCCTGTCAACAGCTGTAAATGAGTAAAATACTTCTTCTTGATATTCCTGGTAAAAAACAACAACAAAAAAAACTTTATTTACATTACATCAATCATCCATGAAATTACTCAATGGGAGTCTCATATTTAATGAATGAACATCAACCGTTCAGTTACGAGGCAATAATATCAAACAGATATATTAACATGCCATATTGTAGAATATTTGTGATTAAATTGCGGCAATGCAAGTTGCAAACAAATTAAAAGGGATTGTTGAGCTCATAAAACAAAATAATTCAGAAATAATGAGTGTTGTGCTTGATGAAAATCTTGTTCATCCTTTTCGCCCACTCTAACCTGAACCCGAACACTCCTGCAGCACCAATTCCTTCCTCCACTGTCTTTCAGGATACTAAAACACTATTCAGTTTGAACAGAGCAGCAGGGATATGATGGAGTTTCTCACACCTATGACTCTCTCGCTCTCTCTTTCTCTCTCTCTCTCCCTCAAAAAAATTGTTTTAGTTTATCTTATAGAGGTGGGCAAAAGGAAAGGCTAAGGTCACACAGTGACCTTTTTTTGCAAGCAGTTTTGTGTACACTAGATAACGACGTGTATACATTTTGTGTGTTCTTGTGATTATTTTTGTCGACATACTTCCTGTGTTTGTGTACTAAAAAAGACCAGTATAATACATCAAATCTAATCGTGACTTACATTTTACACAGTATTGGTTCGTTTTAAAACTGTCCACCTGTGCATCTCACTGAAACCTCGTGGCGCCTTTGTGAAGGAGCTTTCTTGGCTTGATATCAGTAGCTTGCATCTCTTGTACTGGCCAGGATATTATGCCAGTGGGGTATCTTATTACTGGCAGAGCGTATTATATGGCTTTGATCTTATTCTCGCCATTCAGCTGACTCGTCAAGATCGGTCTCACTTTCAGGTGCTTGGCCGTGCCTGTCTTTAGAGCTGCCTCTTCCAAGTTGTTCTTTGCCTGTGGGAGTCCAAGGCTATTTGTAGCTGTCCTGCACATAGTTCAATCCCTTTGGTTGTCATCATCACCTAGATTTCATTCGCCCACACTTACCTGGTCCGAATGACGTTCCCATGTCATTGCTGTCGGATGTCAGGAGTCGATGTCCCGCTCGATGTTGGAGAGCTTGATGTTACCCGAGCAGGTGGAGGAGGTGTGTGTGCGTGTTTGTGTGTGTGTGTTTGTGTGTGTGTGTGTGTGTGTGTGTGTGTGTGTGTGTGTGTGTGTGTGTGTGTGTGTGTGTGTGTGTGTGTGTGTATAAAAGACAGTAAAACAGTAAAAATGTTTATGAAAAACTCTTCTATGCCATAAAGCAGTGGTCCCTAACCCCCGGGCCGCGGACCGGTACCGGTCCGTGTGTCATTTGGTACCGGGCCTCACTGAAAGAAAAAATAGCTTACAATACTTCCGTTTTATTTATTTCAAAATCTGAAAGATGTTTTATTTTGAAAAATTACCGGATTCTCTGTTTTATGTTATGCGTTGTGTTTATTATTTTGCTTTATGTTAACTGTTTTGTTCAGCGCTTTGTTTCAGCTGCAGCTGTTGTGAAAGCGCTATATAAATCAGGATGTATTGTATTGTATTGTTACATCCGTACAGTGTGTCACCCTTGACGCAGATCAAGGCTGCGCTTCTCAGTCACGTGATAGGTTAATGCTCAAAATGAAACCCAGGAGCTAGCAAAATGAGTAAAAAACAAACATCAACAACAAAAGTTTCTTTGGGAAGGGAAAAAGGCCCAGCCAGGAGACAGAAGAGGGGCCGACAACTTTCAAGAAAAAGAAGGCTACATTTCATAGTATCACGAGTCCTACTCAAAATGCGGATTTATCTGAACGGGAGATTCCAAGCCCACTCTGCATAATATGCAGCGAAGGTGAGTCGTATTTTTCATGCACTTTGTATTTGCGGTGTATTTTATTTTGAAGGCACGTTTAAATGTAACCATAGCAACCAGAGAGTGTTGCGGCCAGATAGGACGTTTGTAGTGTTTATTTATCTATTTATTTATTTATATTATTAAGTCACGTCACATTTATTTATATAACCCTTCATCACCAACAGTCTGAAAGGGCCTCACATGCCCAAAGTTCACAAACACTAACGACATTCCTCTGACCTAAACCCCCAGGAGGGCATGGAAAAACTCAAAAAAACTCAACTGGGAAAAACAAAATGAGAGCGACTATGAAAGCTATCGAGAGGTCTAGAATACAACACTTGAGGCACAACAGCAAGCAAGGTCAATAATCTGACAAGAGACTGTGCAACACGGCAGTGTTTAAGTACACGGCAGGCTCGATTGGTAAACACGGAGCAGGAGTGCCTGCTGGAGGGAAACGCCCTTCACTCAAACAGACAGACATGACAAAAATTTACATTCATAATAACGAACTATAGACCCAACAACTTTAATGTAAAATCTACACATGCATTTCCAGAAAACATCGATCGACCGGGATGCGTGACATTTGTCTCATTGTTATCCATCCATTCGAAAAGAAACTCTAAGGTCTAAAGTAATGGCACGTCACCCATGACAATGCTTATATCGACTACAAAATGATTTCTTCATTACAAATCTTGCACGCCTCACCCATTCCGGGTGTGTCATTTTGCACCATAAAAATTATCTTATTCCCACAAATACCCGAGATCTATCATGTTAATGCATGCATTTTATGTTAAGGATTCGTGTGAAAAAAATGGATTGCATTGTGACTTTCTTTAATGGACTTTCTTTAATCCAATCATTTTAAAGGAAGAATTTTTATATTCTTGTTAATGTGGCTATGGTGCAATGTCAAAACAAATGCAGATCTCATCTTTGTCTAGATGTTCCACTTCCTTTGGTGCTCATTGAGGTCTATTCAGCAAAAAAAAAAATTGCTCGTCGTCAGCATGTTAATGTCATTAACTGTGAGTGTGTGTGTGTGTGTGTGTGCTTCTATAGACTAATGCATTGTCCATTTTGCTCATGTTTTTGCATACGCAGTACTTAAACATGTAATCATATGACTATGTGTGCACAAACCCAAACCAATCATTCATCCTCTAAAAAGGTTGCAGAGCAAAAAAGTGTAGAGAAAACAGAGGCATGGATCAAAGATCCAAGACCAAGACAATGTAAAAAAATAAATAAAAATAAATAAAAAGGTGTTTACATTGTACCAGCATGTAAAATTAGAAGGCCACACAATGAAGTAGTCTGGGTAGTGGTGCCAAGAGAAGTTGTCATGTGCCACAAGAAGGCGTCTCCCTGCAGCATTTTCATCTTATTAAATTGACTTTTATATCATTCTAACTAACATTGTATCGTAAAATATTGTCCAAAATGTTGCCCACTCTGCATCCTTTGCACCCTGGTCATCCTAGATAGAGGATTCTTCCATCTGTGGCCCTTTCTCAAGGTTTCTATTGTTTTTTCTTGCCCTCCTGGGGGTTAAGGTCAGGGACTATTGTTCATATTTGTCAACTGTGGCCATTTGAAGCCCTTTGAGACTGTTTGTGATGAAGGGCGATATAAATCAATGTATTGGCTGGCAACCAGTTTAGGGTGTACCCCGCCTTCTGCCCGAAGACAGCTGGGATAGGCTCCAGCAATTCCCCGCGACCCTGTTCAGGATAAGCGGTGTTGAAAATGGATGGATGGATGGATATATGTGAAATGCCCAAGTCGCTGCTGGTGTAGTGGTACACATGCCGGAATTGTGTGCGGGCAGCTTGAGAGCGGTTCCCACTCATTGTGGGTGAATGTTCGTTAGTCTCTGCATGTGCCCGGCGATAGACTGGCGACCAGTTCAGGGTGTTGTCTGCCTTACGCCCAATGTCAACTGGGATAGGCTCCAGCAATTCCCCGCGACCCTGTTCAGGATAAGCGGTGTTGAAAATGGATGGATGGATATATGAAATGTTACTAAAGCAATTACCATATGAATAAAGAATGTCATCTCCCTAATTATAAATGCTATCGAGCAAGCAAGGTGAAAATAGAAGTTATCTTTGTGGCTGGATCCTTTCCCTTTGGTGACATCTGGTGGACGTTGTTAGTATAACAACAAACGTATTAATACTCTTGTACCATACAGGGCACTGGCGCAGTCTCTCTGTGACATTTCATCTTTACATTATCTTTGCGACTAAACCCGATCCTTATTTCTTGTACCCGTATTGCTTATACACGCTGTTGTCTACTTACCCCAGTTACGACAACACTTGACACCTTCAAATTTCATACGAGAGATGAGATTTGCATTTATATTGTAATGCCCTTCAATGTGGTCAAGGATGCACACAGTCGCTGATGCAATCTGTTCGCTTTTGAATAAACAAAAACGGCAGCAATTAATACATGTTCACAGGACCTGCTATTGGCCACAACTCACGCCTATGCACTTTTTATTATTCCCCCAACCTGGCTCGTCCCCTCTGTATGACGTCACCCCCTACTCAACCCAGCCCTCAAACACACAATAACAAGAAACAGTATTACAATATGGACAACGCTCCAAAGATACAGTCTCCAAAGAATATTATACCGGTAGTGATTCGTCCTAATTGGGGTCACCATGGTCTCTATTTTTTAAACATACTTTGTATATCATCTCAAAAGTGCATGGACTAACATGATAGATCTTTGGCATTTAGGTAAGATCATATTTTTATGGTGCCCAATGATAAACCTAGATGTGTAATGTAGAAATATATATTGTAGTAGTTGATATAAGCGTTGTCATGGGTGCCTTGACAAAACTTTTTTTGTTGTTTTCATGGATGTATTACAATGACACAAACAAACATCACATGTCCCTGTGGTAAAGTGTTTACTGGAAATGGATGAAGACATTTTCGTCACAGTTGTTGGAACAATCTATAGTTACGTACAACACACAATCCTTTGTTGAATAGTAGGTGGTAACCACAGTTACTATGATGGTGTTCATTTAGTGTTCATTAGAACAAGCAGAGCCCACAGCTGGCGAGTTGCCATAAACGGCAACAGATTATTGGAATCACTTGTCTAGAAGAACATTTTTGACTGACATAAGACTATTCATGAAGGAAGGAAGGTGAAAGAGTGGTTTGCACATCTGCTTCGGGTGATCCGTGTAAAATGGTGCCACGCAAAGCATGCGAGTCTAAAAAAGGCAGTCAATTTCAGTTGTGGAGTCATCACCAAATTTACCAAATTACACTTCAATATTCAATTAATTCATTTCACTGAACACGTGTGTGCAAATATGTTTACGTTGAAAATGCAGTGAGCTCATTTTCATACAAAAATACTGTAGCCTGTACCCCCATGTTGACAACTTCAATGAACATGAAGGTACCACTTAACAGAAGCTAACGCTAATACATACCTGTCAACTTATACGGTTTACCCATAGTTCATACGGATTTTGTGGTGAATCTTACGTATATGACCATATCGCACAAATCATACGGATTCTGAAAAATTTCCGTTTTTTTCCCCCCCTAACAGGTAGTTCCGTTTGCTTTTGCCCAGAATGGTGCTAGTCTACTCGAATGCTTTCATTTCCGGTAACTTTCCAGTAAATCACGTGGTTCCTAGTTGAAAACAGCAGAGTATTTATTGCATACTTCGGTAGTGTACAAGCAAGTTCTACAAGGAAACAAATATATCATTCATATTTCGTGAGTTTTTTTTCTGCCGTTATTTTGACATATAAAATGCTTTGGTATGTTATAAGGATTTTTTGCTCTTTATAAGGATGTTTTGGTAGTTTATACAGGTTGGCACTCCGAAAAGTTGACAGGTATGCCAATAGTTGTAAGCGAGTGCGCACACTTGTGCAACCACAGTATCAGCTACCTTTGCATTCACTCCCACAAAAAGAAATGTATGCATTGCACAATTTATGCAAAATGTTTTCAAATTTTTTGTCACGGTCAAATTGTTTACAAAAAGTTGGCATTTGAACTGTGGTTTGTACTTTTCAAATCCACTGTTGATAACATGCACCATAGAATAGAATTTATTAGCCATTCATTTCAAGTGTAAACAAGGAGGGGATGTGACACAATGCCCTCACTCTGTGCCCGTTTACTGCCTTGTAAATATACAGTGCAATTAACAGCACTTCTCAGGGTAATTTCTGATAACACACCTGCCTTTGATGGCAATTTTAGTAATACTGTAGCATGAACGAAACTTACAACTACATTTTTTTTTTTCTGTTCATGCAACTAGCTTTCAAATTATAATAGATACAGTGGTTCCTCGACTTACGAAATTAATTGGTTCTGGAAGAAATTTCTTAAAACTTAGAATCCCAAGAGGGGGACTTTAGTCTCGACACTTCAGAATTGGAAAAAAAAACGGGCATTCTTATTAAGTAGAAAATTTTGTAAGTAGAAACGTGTTTTCCATGTAAATACCCTTATTCGTTCCAGCCCTCCCCCCCAAAAAAATGCAGACCTAAATGTCTCCTAAAGCATCAAAATATGTAACAAATACATGTTACGATTATTGCACAATAAATGAGAGTCGTGCATAATGTAAAAAACAAAGAGAAAAGAATAAAAATGGTCATTTAACTTTTAACTGCGTCCTCATCATTTTCTTGCCCTCTTTAGTCCATGATCTCTCTCAGAGGTGGTTTTTGCCGATGGCGTTTTGTAAAGAACTGATCCAAGGACGTTCGTAAGTAGAGGTACCACTGTACCTGTTTCCAGCAGCTCCTATTTATTTTGTTCTTCTACTGCTTCCTCTCATAACTTTGCTGCTGTGAAGTGGGAATTTCTTCATTGTGAGACTATTAAAGGTTTTCTTATCTTATTCTTACTTATATCAAAACAAGTGTTAATAATACTGTAAACAATTCCAGTCATACCTCGGTTTTCGACCATAATCCGTTCCAGAAGGCTGTTCGAAAACCGAAACCACGTAGTTTAAAAAAAAAAAATAAAAAATCTTTATTGAACACGTCTGCTCACAATGGAGCACTACCCGAGGAAGCGTCACTTCCTTGTGTAAGGAAGGCGAGAGGAGTCAAGCGGCGCATTCAAGTGCATTCAGTTTGGTCAAGAACCCATTTTCGGTTGTAATCCAAGGCATAAATGAGTCTAAATTTTTCGTCGAAAACCGATTTGGTCGAGAACAGAGATGTTCGAAAACCGAGGATTTACTGTATTTGTATATTCCCTTACACAAATCAAACAAATGGTAATAACTGTCAATCTTTTTTGAGATACAATATTCGTCCCTCCATTTTCTAATCTGCATTTCTTCACGAGGGTGGCAGGGCATGGTTGAGCCTATCCCAGCTGTCTTCGGGCAGTAGGCGAGGGACACTCTGAACTGGTTCCCAGCCAATCTCAGGGCACACATAACAACCATTCGCACTCACAATCACACCTGGGACAATTTAAAGTGTTCCATGAGCCTGACACGCATGTTTTTGGAATGTGGGAGGAAACCGGAATACCCGGAGAAAACCCACGCAGGCACAGGGAGAACATGCAAACTCCACACAGGAAGGCCGGACTCGAACCCTGCATCTCTGCACTGTGAGGCCGACGTGCTACCCAGTCGACCACTGTTACACCCATCACAACAATAATGCCAAGTTAACTTAAGAAGTCGGAGTCTGACTTTTGTAGGTTAGTTGTGGAAATCATTGGTTGTCATTTTTCTTAATTTGGTGTCTGACAATTACAACCTACTTTGTTTGATAAGACACAGTATGACTAGAAGTATGAAAATACCAAGTACTGTATTTGACATAGTGGTGCCAACATTTTTTTTTTCCCAAATCTAAAAATAAAATCCTAAAAAAAAAAAAGGGTGAAGGCTGGTGAAAATAGTGGCGGCATGTTGATTGGGAGGTCCCTCAGGAGTGTCTGGTCAGCTTCCAGGTGATAAAACTTCCTACAGCGAGGCCACCGCAGAAGATGATGACGAGGCTGTAGAGTTGGGAGTTCAGTCCCACGGTCCGCATGGAGGATGTTGCCAACTCAGAGAAACTGTTGATCTGTTGACCAAAACAAACCTATTGTTGAACCAGACGACAAACACTGCTGCTTAAACACCACGTCAAAACTGACGCATTATGATGATATTGAATCATTGACATGATAACTGAATCAAATCGTCTACTTCCCTGTGCTGCCTCCTGTAACTGCGCTCGTTTCACAGTACTAAAGGAACAGCAACATGTAGCAATCGAAAGCTAACGCAAGACGCACAAAGATCACACGTTCGCTGGTGGGGTTTTTGACATAGAAAAAAATAAGCGACAGAGTGAGCGGGAAAGTCTTAGCTCAACCAGTAAGTAATATCTGGAAAACAATACCGAAACTTTGATGCCACAGGGGTAACATTCAGGCTGAAATATGTGCCACCAGAGGCAGAATCTAATTAACTGAGTTTGAGTAAGGGCATTGAAAAACAGAATCTGAATCGTGTTCAATTAAAAGACCTGGGATGAGTTCAATGCGGCCATGGCGTTATGGTTTGAATAAAAACTACACGGAAGACGTACTGACTCCAGGGCTTCGTTTTGATACATTGCAAAATATACACTGTCCGTTTCTAAATTTGACAGGAAGAACCTTTTCATCCGTCCCTTACCCAATGGCTTGTACCACAAAGGTTAAGAGCTGCTTAGAGAAGATAGGTTTTTTTTTTCCCCCGGCGCACATGTGTCACATGCTCAAAACGAAGATGCTGATTGGACAAAGAAGAAATATGAGTTCTGCAACCGATTGCTCATCCTCCAGTAACCGGATTTTGGTCACACGAACTACATTTGCGCATTGACGATTTGAATTTTTACTTGTGAAACTGAATGTGATAAGTCAAGCAAACCGAATCTGTGTGGAAAAGATTTGAATTTGTCAAACTGAATGCGAAAAAAAAATGTAGAGAACTGAACTTTCAGTGAGGAATCAAATTCAAATTGTACAATTCAGATTTTCATAGCAGGGATTCAAATTAAAGAATGCAAATTCAATGTATGTAATTCAGACACGGTTTTTCAATGCACAAGTTTAGTGATTCAATTCAAATACTGTATACATTTTTCAGACGGAGTTTCCAGTTAAACATATTTTAGGCCATAGCAACGTTAGCACTACGACATGAGAATGATGAGTCAGTGTGCGTGATTAGTACGGTATTTGAAATGGTACTGCATAATCCACAACATGTGGTAACAACGGAACCTATATCTGTAAATATAGTCAAGGCTAAAAAGTGTTCGATGAGCACCAAGTGTCCCTCTTTGGCTACATTGGACAATTTTCGATATTTAGGATAAAGGTAAACATCACGGCTACCCACCGGTCGCATTTGTGATCATCTGAAAAGCTATTTTGATGAGATTACAGTGGCATTCACCATTTATTAAAGAGATGCTAAAATTAAATAATACACATACTGTAGATACCGTACTTTTTTTTTCGCCCCCACATAAACGTTTTCTGACATTTACCACAGACACACACACATAGACACACACTCGCGCACACACATTACTTTGTGATTGGATGGTTGAGGATGCAGAGGCGGAACTTCTGCCTGCCTGCGCAAAAGCTTTCCATTCAAACGACATGCGACAAGGTTAAAAATAGATTCGCTTTCGGGCTCTTACGGACATGATGCCAACAAGGAACATCCCCGGAGGGAATGACCTTGCGTTTGCGGTCACGTTACATGACAACCAATCACGGATTTTGCATAAATTGCAAAATATCGGCTGATTCAAGGCAATCAGATCGGTGGGAAGTCTACTTTTGATATCAAATGACCTGCTACTAAACCAGGTTTGCCGCACGTCTGCATGAATTCTTGTTCCACAACTATGAGACAAAAGAGATTGTGTTTGAACTTATGACTCTGATGATATTTCTATAGAAACACAAATGAAGCAAAAAGAAGCAAAATGTAAACATGTCGCGCCTATTAGCAATAATTATCAGAGGTTTAGAGTGTTTGCTTTGTGAAGAAATGTCTCTGTGATTTTAGAAGAGACACATGGGAAGTGAAAGTCTAAACAGGAAGAAATTAAATCAGGCAGGATACACACCCATCCACCATGTTCCCGAATCCAGCTTAGTAGGTTGTTTCGAAAGAAATCCACAGTCCAAATCAGGATCTCCTTCACTGACTGCGGGAGATGAGCCTCAACCATCTGGTGGATGCAGAGAATCAAAGCACAGGAATTATACTCGTTCACACATCTCAATAGCACCGTTTACAAATGCTGTACAGTGAAACTCCTCTAAAATCGAAACCTACATGGACGAAAATACCCCCCGAGTGTGAAAAAATCTTCATGCATTAACACCATTCCCATTCTCCTGCCCCCCATACAATGAAAAAAAAACCCTGTTGCGTTATATGACATCTTTTTCTCTGCTCTTGCCTCTCGAAGAGATTCACTACAACGAGGTCTAATCCAACAGCGACCTCTACTGCTTCCTTCAGAAACGGCAACAGCAACCACCATACTGGTTTACATAGTGAATGGAATGCATCTGATTAGCTGCTCAGAGTTAATTGCTTATGGCTCGACGGACAGTCAAATAAACGAACATTTCCTGGAATGCTTTACTTGTTATCATGCTAAAAACCTTACGCTAACTGGAGCGCTAATTAGAGAGAAGGCGAGTTCCATCACGCTCACTATGGCCATCGAGGACTACGAAGCGTCCCGTGGCTGGCTTTAAAAGTTCATTGCATGACATCAGCTGAGCAACGCTGTCTTAGGTGTCGTTTGAGGGGAGGTCGAGTTAGAGACAGTGAGATAGTGGAAAGAAAAGCCACCGGGTCCAGGAAGTATTTGTTATTGTTAGATTCAGACGCAGCATGAACGTTGCATTGCTAAAATGGCTACAAAACGGACCTTTGGATGTCAAGCAGCTAAGACAAGAAGCACTCTGACGCTGGAAGAGAGGGTAAAAGTGATCAAAATGAAAGATGGAGGAAGCAAAACAAAATACATTATCCAAGAAATTGATGTAAGTGAAAGTGAATCCTGATCGTAAATTTCGCAATTTCTTTCCCTTTTTTTTTCTTTCTACACTGACTATATGAAGTGTCAAATAAGTGTGTGCTCATACTTATGCACTATTGGAATAAAAATAGAGTACACATATGTTTGTGTGTGTGTGTGTGTGTGTGTGTGTGTGTGTTTACATCTGAGATCAAATTTGCTACAGTGAAAAACCCCCTGTTGTGAAAAATTTCTTGCTGCAAACATGATTTCGTTGTAGAGGAGTTTCACTGTACAATCATTTTTGCTTTTCGATGAAGTATGTGACCGTGAAATGCATGTCTGAGCTCTAAAAGTTCAGCAAAATAAGTTTCCATGGTCAGCAACAGTTTAACGTCGTGAACATTTTGGGCTGATTTAGATTTTTTTTTTTCCTTTCTCTTCTTCCATAGGCCTTCATCCATGTCAAAAGTCCGCCCGCATGAACTGATGAGACCGGTATAACCCTCTGCCTTTACAAAGATGCATTCATAAAACTCCGTTTTGATAACATTTGACTCGGTTCCTATTTCTGCCCACTAATGTAGCTCAATAAGGTGGTCAAAATATTCGCAAATGTTTTCTTGTGGTACTAACCCTTTCGGGGACAGCGGTCACTACAGTGGACATCTTATCATGTTATCAGGTTACAGGGTGCATGAAAGGGTTAAAGTCAGGGTCAGTTGCGGAGTGGGCTACTTGGTCAGTTTCCTTAAGGAAGGGGTACAGTGATGGGAAAATTAATATTTGGGGGGCTCAAGTTCAGTTGAAAATTTAAAAAAAAGCTCCAGGTGGTTTAACTGTTTACATTTTATTTTTAACTGAAGAAAATGTGAAATATCTTTTCGGTCTGTGTCCTACAGATTATTTGTCTCCAGTTCTGGGAGTTTATTTGATTTGCTACAGTTACTGCAAACATAGTTCATTATATTGTTTCACAGTTAACGATTGAAAGAGGTACTTGACGCACAGAACGTCCACAAGACCACTTGTCTGAGATTGTAAGTTGACTTTACTCAGCTGTAGACTATAGACTTCAAATACTTGGTTACATACATCTTCACTTGTAATGTGAACGATGGACAGTGCATAAAGGTACAGCTTGTTGACTTGACAAGTTATCAAATATTGAGAGTTGGATTTATTTATTGTCAATAAATGTATTTATGTTGTTGAAATGTTTACTTTTGTTGGAAAAAAAAGATGATTTGAATGAAGTGCAAGATAAACCTCATATTGTCAGTTTAAGTGCAAGATGTTTATGGCCGTTTTACTCATTTTTACTACCTGGCCGTTTTACTCATTTCAAGTGTCTTGCTCGGAAAAAAAGTCCAAATTATTTGAGCAAGTAAAGAGTAACTTTAAGTGATTACTTTGAGAAAGTAACATTCCTAACACGCTTCGTGGCACATAGTTGCTTGGAGACCAAGCCTGCCAGTGCAAAGCTACTACTTTTGAACGATCAGCTGTTCTAAAAGCCAGAAGTGGTGCAACGAAGCACCAGTGATGTGTTGAAGATGTTCTTTTGCTATTGTTTGTTTTGTTTTTTTTTTTTAAATAATTCCATAATTTCTTCCTCAAAATTGTGATTCCATATTTTTCCCCCACTCTGCTTGGTCTAAAAATGTAACTGTCGACCACATTTTTTTTCCTGACTTATTTTAGCCTTTCTTAAAGCCACAACGTTGGCTATTTGAAATGACTTGAGTTTTCGCATATTTTCAACAAAATTAAACATCTGAATAAGCATCCCCCGAGATTGGCGATTCCATCATTTTTGCCAGGCGTTGTGTTAAAAAGCTTTCCATTGAGGTGGTCTTTGGTTTGGTCATTTCTTGAATGTCAAAGTCTACATGCTGAGCCATAGTCAAGACAACAGCCTGCAGCAAACTGTGTGATGTGGTTTAAAATACACAAACCCACCTTGAATGCTAACCTCCCAGCAACATAGAAGAGCACAGCAATTCTCTCCCAGGTAATGCCTTGCTCAAAGACTTTGTCTGCCACTCTCTTGAAATTTTCCCACTTGGATCCTTCCACACAGCCTACACCATCAATTGCACTGTTCCGCAAAAGGAAAAGATCAAGGTGATGATGATGATGATGATAGATAAAAAAATAAATTAATTAAATGTTCAATTCAGTATGCATTTACACCATAGCATGAAAAAGAGAAGAAACTTACTCCTGGAATTCTTTGTCTTCTTTGACCCTGTCGCCAATTATTCGGATCATTTTGCCCAACTGCGTCACAATCTTCTGCTCCTGACTACTTCTTACTTCCACAGCCAGGGGAGTGAGAGGAGGGATATCTTCTGAGGGCACATCCTTCAGCTCTTCCTCAATGACCCTGGAGAAAGAACACAGACACCTGGTGAGAATCTAGACCACTGAATTGGCCGACAACACTTTGGAATCTATTAGATACATAAATTGATGGCCATGTGGCGAGCAGGTGTTATTGGATGTGATGGATAGACGGATACTTGATTCATCCCATGGATGATTTTAGATTGTTACAGCAGCAATATTCACAATTATTATTAAAAGAAAAAAGGGAGCAACAGAAAAGGAATATAAAAGGATTCGAGGGGTCCCAAGGAAAATTCTACTGCTTCATCGATCTGAGCCAGAAGAAAAGTGAAAACGATTTCAGATGTTACCTGTTGAGCCATGGCAGTAATAAAAAAATAAAAGGATACACATCTTCCAGTATGTTTGACAATTTAAATGAAATCTTTAAATGACCTCACGCCACCTTATCTCTCTGAGCTCATCCACCCCTGCACACCTGCCCGGCGCCTCAGGTCTGTGGACCAGACATTGTTAGAAGTACCAAAAACTCAACGGAGGCTCAGAGGGGATCGAGCCTTTTCCGTTGCTGGTCCCTCTCTCTGGAATGACCTCCCACTGAACATTCGGCAAACCCGCCTCAAAACTCACTGGTATTCTTTGGCATTTGACTCAGCATGACTCAGATTTGATCTTAGTTTTACTGTTTGGTGCCTACTACCATCTTTGTTCCTGATTATCACTTTATTGTTGTATATATGTTAGTTGCTCCATGTACAGCACTTTGTATGAAGCAATGTCTGTTTGAAAGTGCTCTATAAATACAGCTGAGTTGAGTTAAACATGAACATGCAGAGAACCTGTGAATATGCATTGCACGTGTGCTCGAATATACTGCATGTCGAATAGTGACTGCACAAGTGAAAAGGTATACGTTTCTAGCTGTTTATAGGTATACGTTTTAAGTTGTCCATAGTTAATCAAAAACTAGTTAAATAATTAAAGTAATAATTTACATTTTTAAAAAAAATATACATCCCCCCTAACTCCCCTCAATTGCTCAACAGTAATTGCTGTCCGATTTCTGTAATCTTTCAGGGAAGCAGACTGATCATCCTTTGGTCGAATCACACTAAAAGATTTGCAACCATCTGCTTTTCCTTTGAAAAACAATGACCGGATCAGTAACCACACAACAATTTCAAAAAGGTTGGCGAGTACAACATCAAACCCTTTAGTGCAGGGGTGTCCAAAGTCGGTCCTCAAGGGCCGCTGTCCTGCCTGTTTTCCAGCTCTCCCAGGAGCAACACACCTGATTCAAACCATCAGGATCGTTCTAATGCTGCTTCAGAGCTGGCTGAGGAGATGCTCATCTGAATCAGGTGTGTTGCAGGTGGGAGAGCTGGAGAACAGGCAGGACAGTGGCCCTCCTGGCCCGGAGCTGGACACGTCTGCTTTAGTGTGATATTGCTGAATTATTGTTGTTTTCATTAATACATAATTCCAAACAAAAGAACAATTGGTTAACAAATAGTAGGGCTCATTTGCTGTTGCAGAGTGTCGTGGAGAGGATGTGAATGATTTTCCAAGATGGAGAAAATTTCGGCCAGTGATCTCTCGTCAATCACTGATTTAAACATCTCGATCTAGTTCCATGACGTAACCAGCCTTCCTTTTTTTTTAATAATCTTTATTGAACAAGTCAGAATAATAACCAGCCTTCCTGTTGAGTCGAGTGTTTTTTTTTTCTTCGTCACTTGCATTGATGCTGCACCCCCAGTAGATGGCACTAGTTACCACAGAACATCTTGCTCCGCCCATTGAAGGATCTGCGCTTCCTCCGGAAATGTGATTAGTGTGTGGGGGTTGTGCATTCAAGTTCAGAGCTGTGAAACTATTTACCCATTTCTGATGTATCTTTTTGCATGTTTATCACCATTCAATGTTTCAGATGATCAAACGCCTCATAAAAGACAACCCTGGTTCACAAAATTCCATTTCTAAATGAAGATTTTATTCATTGGGACTACTGTATTTTTTTCTCTGATGTATATGTATCACATTTTAATGTTTCGAATTGTCAAGCCAAATAAAAAAAAAAAAATCAGAATAAACAACCCAAGCAAATAAAATGAAAAGTAAATAAAATTTGGATTGTTGTTGTATGTGAAAAAGTAACTGCCCCCTGAATCTAATAAAGACGTGTGCGACCCATTGCAGCCGTAATTGAAATCAAGCATTTGCAATAATCCAGTGGAGAATTTTTGTCCACTCTTCTTTACAAATGTATTTAATGCGGTCATTTGGATTTCAAGCATGAACTTTCTGTTTATGATCATATCACAGCATCTGAATTAGATTCAAATTCAAACTTTAAAATTGAACTCAACTTTCCAGATATTGTGGTTAACTTTCATACGGCTGGATAGGGGTGGATTTTCTTTCCCCTTACTAAATTAAATAATCAGTTAGAAATGGCATTTTGTATTTATTTGGTCTTTGTGACATTAGCATTGGCTTTATGATACAAAACATGCAGCTGTGGAGAAAAAAATAAAATAAAAACAGAAAGGGCCAATATGTTTTCATGCCATTTTAAGTTCATCAACGCATTCCCAGGCAATCACATGGCTTACAAATCGAGAGAACAAACAACTGGCAGTAATATTTATAGTGATGTGTGAGAGCAGCGGTGCCAAAACCGTCTCTCGAGGGAGTTCAATAAGTCCCGCAGAATGATTTTGAAAGTGAAAAAATATCCATCACACTAAATGTGTATTTTATAATTAGATAAGCGCTCTGGTAGTGTCATGAAAATAAACACAATTGTAATTACATTTCTGTTAGTGTAAATTATAACACATAATGATCGGGACTATAGGCAACCAAAGTTCACATTTGTCAACCAAGACGAAGCACTTAGTTCTGGGTCAGGTCACTGGTTTTCCTGGTGTTAAAAATTTGAAATGGTCTCACTCTATTGACGTGATTACAGGTACTATGGGTTAATATGATTTTGGAAACCATGGTCTTTACATCACTTTTTTTCTGAATTTGTAGATACATTTCAGGATTTTGAAAAATGAAATGCAGTTTTCGGTTAGGCATACACGATCTACAGATGTATGTGGTCATTTAAAGTAGAGAATAGTACAGTACCTCAATGCCATTCAAACGTTTCTGAATAAAAATAATAATAATAATAATAATAACCAACAATCTTGTCCGTGTGTGTATCTCTAGTGTGAGTTCATGTAAGATTGCAATAGCTAGTTGTGAAATAGAACCATTGTAAACATTTTTACAAGGATTAAAAGGTAGCTGGAGTTGACAAACTTTCTAATAGTGTTTTTCCCAAATTGCCTACCAGCTAGAAAATAAACAGGATGTTAGCTGCTCAGATCCTATCGAAACATGAAATGGGACCCAAGAGTTGTTTTTTTTAATTACTATCTGACATACAGTATGACGTTACAATACAGAGAGATTCGAGACACCTGAGACCTTATTACTACACCTATCTACCTGTGCACAAAATAATAGGGTCCAAGTGTCGCCCCTAAAAGTGGAAGGAAAAAAACTGCATACAACAGATTATCGAGGCTGTATAACGATGCCGACGGGTCTTGTTTTTATTGACACGTGTTTTCCTACTGGTTAAATTAATCAATGTAACGACAACAAATATTTCAATCAATAGCCTAAGAGTACGTTGTCAATCAAAACTGATATCATCGTTGAGAACTGTTAACTTTTCATTCGTCAAACGTCACAAATGGATTCATTTTCGGAGTTTCTTTATCTTTGTACCATAAAATATAAAATAAGTATTATTCAGTTTTATGATGGCAGATGTTTTTGTTGTGCGTGTTAAATTAGAAAATACGATGTATGTGCAATCAACATGCATATACTGTACAATCTATTGCTGAGGGAAAAAAAGAATGAACACGGAAGAGAGGCACTTACTCCTTTATCAGGGCTTCTCCGATCCTCTCATCTGTGGAGACATACAGCACATTTATAATGAGTAGGCGAGATCTGATAACTTTTTAATTTTTTTTTTCATCCGTCAAGAGAGTGTTATAGTTTTGGCGTTCATTGGCAGTATTTTACTTACTCTTGTACCGCTTTTATTCTAATTGGATTTTGTATAACTTTACGAATGACAAATCATGAAATTTTAGACAATATGTCAATGTTAAACAGTTCATGTTTCGATGCCAAGCTTACCTGATATACCGTTTCCTTCACACGCCATCGTGTTAAAATAAAACGAAAGTAACGGCGTTAAGTCCACTTCCTGTTATTTGGCGCACGCACACACCAAAGATGAGGCCAGTGAAGTCGATGACTCTGAAACTACCATATAAATAGCTCAGATTTTTCTGTGACACAGCCTATAATGTACAACAAACTTTGTCGAGAGAAATCCCCAAGTTCTCTTTTTCTTTCGCCCTGGTTATAGGTAGTTGACGATCAAACTGTAAACATTTACTGCCACCTTCAGGATTTAAGAGTCCGTTACATAATGGGCGGGGCTCCGCCCTGTCGCTTTTTTTTCAAGCGTTAGTCATTTTTCGAATTGAAATAATCTATACACAAAATACAGAAACATGTACTTGTGCCAATTACATTTGCCCAGAGACAAAGTGTAAGTGTAGTGTTCATAAAAGTGATCACGAATGGCGGGCCGTGCATTTCAACCTTAGGCCTTCAGTGACGTCACATACATGAACACAATACTGTATAGGCTCGTCAAGCAGCACTTAATTTCTGGAGCATTTAAAACCATCAAGTGTACATTCACAATTAAGAGCATCAAACTAAATTTACAGATAGTCAAAAATAAAAAGATGATTTAAAAATACGAAATAAAATGCCACCCAAATTACGCTGTGTGATCTTAAACAAGTCTGTTAAATAAATTGCGCAATGTCGCAGTTTCATATAAGACACCAACCAAACAATAACAAAACAAAATATTCTTTGAAAATAAACAGATCATTTGCATTTTGAAAATCGGCGATACAACAGCAAATAACTGAAAATGTTGAGCAGCTGAGCTTGAACGAACTTTCGTGCACAAAGGTGACTACAATGCGCCATTATAAATTGCAGGTGAGCAGATTTATTTGATACATTTTTGTATCTTTGTCATTTTATTTCGTTACCATGAATTTAATACTAACGAAATAAAATGACAAGAAGAAATGTAAAATAAAATTCATTTACTCACCAATGTTGTGCCTGTTCACTGAGGTGCAGATCTACGTGAGTGTCCCCAAACGTTTTTAAACGCACCGTAGCTTGTAAGTGCCCAGCCGTTTCCTTGCTGCCTTAGTAAAACAATCCAGTGTGGCTCCAAACACCAAATCGGTCAGTTGCAAGCAATAGGCATTCCCAGCAGTACAACTTGCAGCATTTCACAGAGGCTGTGAGCCACCACGGGTACCGTTCATAATTGCTCGTCTGAAAATGACGGACAAACCCTTGTCCTTGCTGGGACAGGCTAGCTAGCGCAGGAGTTGGGCGACCTCTTTGCACAATATCCAGCTTTTCGTGGAAGGCACGTCTTGAAAATTGTGTGGAAAGTAGTTCTGCAACCAGATCAACGTCTTCTCCTTTGGCCATTTTGGGTTAAAATGTGAGTGATAGCTCTAGCAGACGCTAATCCAATCTTTTTTTTTTTTTTCCAAATCTTTATTGAACAAGTCAGGATACACTTCTCAGGAACCAGAAAAGGCGCTAATCCACTCACCGAACGCGCATGGCCAGTCTCGACGTAAGGCCTTCTAGCTGGCCCTAGTACGCAGACGAGTGATTGGCTATTGAAACCTGACTGTGCCCATTCACTTACAGCGCACAGGGGCCTGCTCTGTTTAATCTGAAGGCCCCAAGCAAGTTTAATTTACCTGGCAACACAAGCTAGCTGAAATATGATTGGTTAAAAACTTGACCATAATAAATAAGTTCGACTAAGTGGAAATAATATGACATAAAGAATACAGAGAATAATTTTGTTTACATATTTATGAAAATAAAATAACAAATTAATGAAAAGTAAATTCACTTTTCTGAGAATGTTTAGGCCAGCAGAGAAGGCCTTGCTGGCCCTGAGGGTCCGCGCCTGCTTAATATTAGTTCAAATACTGGAATAACTCTTGCGCCTCCATCTAAAATGGTTCATTTATCTATCTTTGCCCTCTGTTCAGATGACCAATTTCCTAATATAAACGATAAAACAAGTTTGAAATTTGCCTTTTTTGACCATGGTGTTGTTGGTGTGTCTTCATTGTAACTGTTAGAACATTTTGCTTGATCAAATACCTGTTCTTATTTTAGGTAGTGGTAATTGTAATTGTAGTGGTAGTTGTGTCATCTAGCGGTAGAGAAAGAATGTCATTTGAACAAGCGCTTTCCCAAACAAACACTGACCTATAACGTGTTTTGCTGTGTGGAAATGAAGTACTCCACCCACAGAAGAGAGGCAAAAGGGGAGAACTTGACAGCCGGAACAGATGAATGGAGATAGCAGCGAGGATATAGCAGTGAGAGCCAAGGAGCAAGTTAGAACTAAACAGATTATTTTTTCATTTCACTGATTGGGGAAGAGAGAATGCCGAGCAGAACATGATGCACAGGACAGACATATGGCAACCTGGAAGAGTTTAAAAGCTCTCCAAACTTTATTTATGTCGACTGAGTTGACAAAACTAACATCTCAGCAGGAATAACTAATTCGACTCGTGGAGCAAGTAAAAACATTGAAAGCCATGCTAATGGAGAAAAACAACGATTTTTGAGCGAGAGCATATACAGTATATGTATTCGGGATGTGAATCTCAGCACTGAGGACGATTCGATACACATCTCGATGCACTACCAGCGATGCGATACTTAAACACTACAAGGAATTTTCTGGCGACACGATGCGATACGTTTCACTGTCTTCAAGACGTGATACGATGCGATACACATTTAGTTCAAATCAATGCGATCCAATACGATACAATGCAATTTGTTGCGATATTGTGCAAATAATTAAACATGATGCAAATAAGCAAAGAAAAAAAGTTTAAAAAAAGATGGAATTCAGTATGGTATTACAAAAAGGATACCACTTTATTCCTTATAAACAGTAGAACGTGTAAAACAACTTATTTAAGCCCTTTCACAATTGGGTTTTGTGCAAAGAAAATGTAAACAATTTGGCACCTGAGACTCACAGATGTTGCTGTAGTGTAAACACAGACAGACTACTCTCACTGAGTGTCTTATATGAAATATCCATCTCCATAGGACAGAAAATAAAATACAATTTAAAAAATATGGCAGTCACAGGCTAAAAGCTGCTGTGTGTATTGTAGCGTACACAGACCACTCTCACTGAGTGTCTCAAAATGAAATGTCCAAAGGAGTCAAAAAAATGTAACGACTCTCCTTATATTCACCAGGATAGGTTTCACCTGGTCTACTGCAAATGTTTTTGCGAGGACAAATTAAGTGTGTGTGCTATGCATCGCACATGCTCCTTCATTTCTGCGCCAGACCCCGCCAGTATCATGTTAGTGGCATTATCCGTGACTAACGCTGTTCTCTTATTGCCAATGTTCCACTCGCGGCAAACGTCGCGCAGTAACTCCGCAAGGTTACTGCGGTCAAGCCAGCGTCCGCTCGCAAAATTGAAGTCAAGTGAGCCGCCACTGCGATTTTCAACACTGTGCATTACGGTAATCTGCCGCGAGCGAGTGGCGGTGGCCACCTTCAAAATAAAAGTACCTCCACTAATGCATAAACGTCATTTGTTTGGGTGAAAAGAAATTAATAAAAATATAAAATAAGTACTTTCTTGGCTGTCAGCTAACGATACGTTCACCCCGGAAGAACAAGAACTCTCAGAATAGCACAAAAAAAGCATTCTCAAATGGAGATAGAAAAGTTAATCTGAAAACATGTTGACATTTTCGACCGTTTTAGGAAAATTCCTAAAAATAGAATGTTCGTTATCCCATGAGAGCTGTAGGTCTGGGGGATAACTACAGCACTCCCAGTGTCCAACCCGACCACTTTCATCCGAATCCGATGTTGCATTTGGGAAGAAAAGGCCTCTGAAATGGGAAAATATGACCTTATTCCTGACAAGTTGGCTGAACGCCTAACATGTTGACATTTTCGACCGTTTTGAAAAAATTCCTCAAAATTGAATGTTCGTTATCCCATGAGGGCTGTAAGTCATGGGATAACGACAGCACTTACGGTATCCAACCGGACCACTTTCGTCCAGATCCGATGTTGCATTTGGGAATAAAAGGCCTCTGAAATGGGAAAATATGACCTTATTCCCGACAAGTTGGCTGAACGCCTAAAATGTTGACATTTTCGACCGTTTTGAAAAAAATTTTAAAAATTGAATCTTCGTTATCCTGTGAGGGCTGTAGATCAAGGGATACCAACAGCACTTCCGGTATCCAACCCGACCACTTTCGTCCGAATCCGATGTTGCATTTGGGACTAAAAGGCCTCTGAAATGGGAAAATATGACCTTATTCCCGACAAGTTGGCTGAACGCCTAAAATGTTGACATTTTCGACCGTTTTGAAAAAAATTCCTAAAAATTGAATCTTCGTTATCCTGTGAGGGCTGAAGGTCAGGGGATACCTACAGCGCTTCCGGTATCCAACCCGACCACTTTCGTCAGAATCCGATGTTGCATTTGGGAATAAAAGGCCTCTGAAATGAGAAAATATGACCTTATTCCCGACAAGTTGGCTGAACGCCTAAAATGTTGACATTTTCGACCGTTTTGAAAAAAATCCTAAAAATTGAATGTTCGTTATCCCTAACATGTTGATATTTTGGACCCATTTGGGAATAAAAGGCCTCTGAAATGGGAAAATATGACCTTATTCCCGATAAGTTGCTGAACACCTAAAATGTTGACATTTTCGACCGTTTTGAAAAAAATCCTAAAAATTGAATGTTCGTTATCCCTAACATGTTGATATTTTGGACCGTTTTGAAAAAAATTCCGAAAAATTGAATGTTCGTTATCCCATAAGGGCTGTAGGTCAGGGGATAACTCCAGCACTCACGGTATCCAATCGGACAACTTTCGTCCAGATCCGATGTTGCATTTGGGAATAAAAGGCCTCCAAATAAGGAAAATATGACCTTATTTCTGACATGTTGACGGCGGACAAGAGACTCAACTGCCTCCATGTTCTGCCCCCTCCACCCTACCCCCGTGTACCCCTGCCTCCTGCCACAATCGGCGACGAATGTGAAAGGTGGTCTCACGAGCAATGCCTTGGAATGACCGTGGATGACTTGGCAAAGGCGAAAACAGGGAATTGTTCTTGCATTGTATGTGATCCATGAGTGTGAATTGGACACCTGGGAGACCTTCATCTATATATATCTGTGTGTGTGTGTGTGTGTGTGTGTGTGTGTGTGTGTGTGTGTGTGTGTATGTGTGTGTGTGTG